TTACCCTTCAGACTGCGTCTGGTGACAAGATCGACATAACTGGGAAGTTAAACGTAAACATCACGTTTGGAAGTGCCGCCTACCATCACACGGCATATGTGGCGGATATTACAGATCCATGCATACTCGGATTGGACTTTTTAAGGAAATACAATTTTTCCTTAGACTTTAAAAACAACAAATTGCTTTCAGCATCTGAGGACATGACTATCCATCCTCAGAGAGGATCTTCACCTGTAAACGCCGACATCTTGTCTGAAAGACCCTGCTCAGAAAGCTGCCAAGATCATACTAGAGTCGGAGAGAAACACCAAATTACTGGCTATCCTCCATCCCAGATGCTCTTCGCTCAAGACCTTCGTCTGTCTTGTGACCGCCTGTTTGGTCGCCCTACGGATGCGCCTTCATCGCCTGAGGAACACATTCAAGATGTCCAGGCCCGGTTTGAAGTGATGCACCGTTCTGCACGAAAGCGAGTCAACTTGGCGACGGAGAAAATGAAGACCAGATGCGACACAAGAGCTACTAGACAGAGATCCAACAAAGGAGACAAGGTGTGGTTGTGGAACCCAATTCAACGAAAAGGACTGAGTCCCTAAATTACAGTCACCTTCGGATGGTCCATATACAGTGCTGAACACGAATGACGTCGTGGTTCGGATCCGTGAGTCCTTTGAACTCTTACGACAGGTTAGCTTATTACTATGGCCATAGTACGTAATGTAAATAATTGTAAATAGTATCAGACCATGGTCCTTTATGTTTTTTAAATGTGTATTTGATTTGATTTGTATTTAGTATTTGTTTTGTATTTATTATTGATAGCATTTGATTTGTTTAAGTTATTTTTTTTGCATTTATTGTTCATGTTGTTTGATATTGTGATGTAATGTTTATGCCTCAGTTGCATTTATGCCACAGTTGTAAGTTTAGCTTCCTGTCCAGGGATTGTACTGCCCGGACGTGCAGTCCTTGGGAAGGGGGCAGTGTTACGAATTTGGTATTTAAAAAGCTAATGTTAGTTCAATTACAAATTAAATGGTTTTATTTCTCGCGCAGTGCAGCGCGTGACGAATATTAAAAGAAAGCTAAGCCGGAAAATTGAAAATACAAGAGCGCGTGCATTAAATAAATAAATATTTCTTTTTGATTTCGAGAAAGTACTGGAAATTTCTAGCGCGTGATTTTAAAATCTTATAAAAGGAGGAAAACATCTCAGTTTGTAGTTGCTTAGTTTGTTGTTGCTTAGAAAACTGCTCTTGTTGATTGTAGCGAATTCGCGGATTAGCGTTCTTTAGCTGTTTTGAATTACGTTCTATTGGATATTTGAGTAGTTAAAAGATAACTACTGTGAGATATTGTAATTCTGCATGATAATTTGAGAAAATTTAAGCATTTTTGTTGTGATAATAATAAATTTTTGTTCATTTTTCATCGGACTTGTGCATTCATTTCATAACGAACCCGTACGCACGCAACAATATTATTGTTAAGAGAAATAAATTATTGTGATAAAAAATAAAAATGTTGTTATTTATAACAATTGTCATACATAAAAAATCAGAGACAAATAATTATAATAATTATAATTGATTAAAAAATTTGATAACAAAGGTAATAACATTTATTTTCATGAAACTTATGATAACGGTTAAATATACACTGGTGTGCAAAAATTAAGGACGAGACAGTTTTTTCAATATAATTTTGTACAAAAGCTTTCCAAATCAACACATTTAATACCGTAAGATCCCCAATACGTAAGGACATGAGTAATGTAAGCAACACTTACTAAAAGAGAAATCAGAGGAATAAAAAGGAGCTTTATTGAAAAAGTAGCATGGAGCGCAATGCGACTGAAGGCCGAAACATCCCTGTGATGGGTGTCTAGCAAGGAAACATCCGGTCTTTAATAGGGAATATGATTTCCCCTGACTGCTAGGCAGGTTTCACAGCGTCTGCCCATGCTGAGAATGAGGGTGTCAATGAGTTGTTGAGGCATTGCTGCCTATTCGTCTTGCAGCGCCAATCGAAGCTCCGGAATCGTTACTGGTGGTAAGGTACGAGCTGCCAAGCGTCTGCCTAGAAAATCCCATACATGCTCGATGGGATTGAGATCCGGAGATCGTGCCAGCCAATCCATACGTTCAATATTTCACTCTCTAAGAGCTGTTCGGCAGCTACTGTGCGATGACATGGTGCATTGTCGTCCATGAAAAGGAACTGCGGACCCATAGCGCCTCTAAAAAGACGCACATATGGAAGAAGAATCTCGTTACAATAACGGGGTCCCGTTGACTGAACCTGCGTCGAAGATGTGAAGGTCTGTACGACTACCAAGCATGATGCCTCAATGCCTCAACAAACAAGGACACCGCCACCTCCATACCTGTCCCTTTCAATGATGTTCGAGGGATGATTGCGGCTTCCCCGCTCTCTCCAGATGAATATGCGATGAGAATCGCTACTCAGACTCAATCTGCTCTCATCTGTAAAGAGTACTCGTCCCCATTCATTGTCTCTCCAATTCCGGTGTTCCCGGCACCACAGAAAACGCCTTCTCCGATGGGCAGGCGTTAGAGGTACAAACCGTACAGGGCGTCGTGTAAACAGACCACCACTATCAGTCTTCTGGCCACGGTAAAACGCGATATCGGTCGTCCAGTCGCCTGTGTCGTGTGGCTAGGGACTTCTCCCGCTGTCTGCTGCCTGTTTCTTCTGGCCTGTAAGGCAATATACCGGTCATCTGCGGGTGTGGTTCCTCGTGGACGACCACTACTAAACCCCCGGATAGCTGTTCCTATAGTTTGAAATTGTCTCCAAAGTCTTGAAACGATGCTGTGAGCAATTCCGAACTCTGCAGCTACACTTGTCACACTGCGGCCTTCCTCCAACTTCCCAATGATTCGACCTCGGGGTAAAAGCATCCAGATGTCGTCTAACAGATTGATTATTCGCCATTTCTCGCTGAGGCAGCAACTCGGTGTGATTTTAACTGCTGTACGGCGTGCAATCTCTTTGCCAGAAATACTGATCTTACACGGACAACATGCTTTATACTACTCAGACACTCCCCCATTACGTCTACCTGCATATCTGCGCATGTGCTACCGTACATCACCTTACTTAATCTCCTGATTGGTCTTTCTGTCAGCTCTGCCTCTTCGTTCAGCTGATATGCTAATTTTTCAACTTCGTCCTTAATTTTTGCACACCAGTGTATATAAACCTTAGTTTTAAAATGGCAATTTTTCGTGGTGTAGATCCCACCATGTTAAATAACGGGGACGCATCCCGATACAGAGTCACTCATGGGTGATGTGGAAATCTGTGTATGACAGATTCACTGACTGGCATTATATTTCCCAACTTTAAATTAAAAATATGTACATTAATTATCAATTCGAAATTAGACATTTCGTGTATATAAGGAGTCTAGATTCACATTTACTTAGATAGTGTGCCCAGCAAAGCCGGCGGTTATCAGCTAGTTTAAAATAATATCAGACATCGGAAAGCAGTTCGTTAACCATATTTTTGAGAATATGTGTGCAAGTCTTTGCAGAATATATTTTAAGGTGGCTCCTTATCGACCACAGTCAGAATGCTGCTGACCGAGTGAATCGAAATATCGTTAAAATTATCCGCAACTGCAGAAAACATTAACACCAACATTAGTACTACTTTGTGAATAAATATATGACAGTTGTGTCAGGATTAGCACCCTCATGTAGACATTTAGCAAGTCCAGAAAATCCACGGCAGTTAATTTTTCAGGCAGAGTCCTCCTATCTTTACTTTATCTAACACAAGTTTCTGTCTATTCTAACAGCGATTCTTAACAGCCTTTTGATTGCTTCTTTGCTTAATTTTAAGTAGTTCCTAACACAATACTCTTTCTCCGTACAACAATATCCAAGCTTACATGTAGACTTATGAGGCTCTTAGCTGTCTATTCGGCTGCGTTCCCGGAGCAGGGTGGAGCAGAGAGTAGATGGTTTCTGCCAGGAAGATATCACACTGTGAGGGTAAGGCCAGGTCAGTGGTCTTCCTTGGTGGCGCTCACTCACTCACTCACTACTGTGTGAAAAACCTCGCATTTGCTTCGAGGACAGGTAAACATACTACCGTGAAGATGCAAGCTGAATTATTTGTTGGCCGAAAGTTAATTATACCTCTTGATAAACTGCTTTTTGTTGAAAAGAGGTCTGCAGAATATAAGATGGCCGACATTCACAAGTTAGTGGGTGAAGCAATTAGATATTCCGCTATGGTCCAGGCTAAACAAAAGTTTTATTATGAGAAGAAAAGGCGGGAAAAAGTGGGAAGAAAGGTGGGATATAAAGTCTTGAAAATTATATTCGTGTGCACCAGAGGGAAAGGTTCGGAAGTTTTGCAATAAGTTCAAAGACCCATTTTTACTTGAATAAGGGAGACAGTGGTACTTTCGAAAGGTTAAAACGGTGAAAGTACGAAAGAAAATGCAAACCAATAAGAAATGTGAAAACAAATTCAGGTAGTAGTTTTTGGAATTTAGTGGATGCCTGCCTCGAAGGAAAAATTGTATAAAACATTAGAAAAAGATCTGATTTTCTATTATTTATATTGCTGTAGATTTAGTAAATATCAGCAAACAGTGTTGGGTGGGTTTTTATATGCATAGTATACATTATTTTCGGTAGAAAATTTGCAAGATATTTTTCTTGTTGGAATTTTTAAAAGGCTTTGAAATGTATGTATTCGGTTTAGTCTTGCTAAGGTAAAATATCGATGTTATAAAAATATAATTCGGATTTCTTATTAACTAAATTAAAAAAAAATAAAAAAGAATTTAATAAAAAAATAAAGTAGCAAAGTAGTGCATTTATACTCACATTTGAACTTACGAATAAAATGCACAAATATGCGAATAAGAACTATCTACTTATTCCCTTTTTGAACTGGCAACATTTTACATACAGTTATAAATAAGAACGATGCAAGAAAAAAAAATAACTTACCATACTTGACTTGGCAGATGTCCCCCACCACGATATCGCTCACTGGGATCTGCATCACTTCCCCCCCTCTTATCACAGAGAATTTGTGCTCGTGCTCGATTCGGTTTTGGAGGCCCCGAAACTGCCGCTCTTTGGTGTAGTCGTTGAAGGCTGTCACCAACACCACGATCACTACCGACACCAGGATAGCTACACCTTCGATCCACCCTGCCTCACTCTCCCCTTCGTCATGTCCTGAATAAAAATACACTTAATGAACATAAAATCTTTATGAATACCTCTCACATAACATTAAATGAATTACTTATATGATGTCATTAAATGGCAAGGAAGTGATATTTTATTGCACAAAATTCATTTTTTAAAATAGGTTAAATATCTAATCAAATAACGTAATTTTAAAAGTAAAATTGGAGTATATTAATACGTATGCAGCGTCTGTTATGAAAGTTCAACCACTTTTACCTGATCAGTCTGAAAAGTGTTCAGTTTCCAGAGTCATTAGTCTTATAAATATTATTATTTTCACACGACAGAAGGTGATTCTAATGCCTATACTTTCATTATCGTAGCCGCATAGTAAATCTGAAAAGTTATCGGAGCCACGTAGCAAATCGGAAGTAAATCTGAAAAAGTAAAAGAAGAAAGCGGAGAGTCTTTTCTTTGTTATTGTAATGGTCATTTTAGTAATAATTAATAATAACAGTAATTTATAATTTCTTATTTATTTAATTTTTTAATTGGAAAAACTGGTTTCAAACTATTTATATAAATTTGTAAAGTAAATAATAATTATATTAATCGTTTTTATTTTAGATACTGAAATTGCAAATCTAAGGTACGATTCTTGGAAACAAAGTAAAAGAAAAAGAATATTCGAGAATTAGAAAGAACGATTTTAAATGCTTTCTGTAATGGAAATGCCAAATGTGTGGTTTCCATCTAATGAATACAGAACATTCGAGAACGGGGAGTGGATAGCTGTTTATAGTAAAGAGTAATTTCCCTTGCCGTGGGAGTGTGGGCTTGGACTGAGTTCGTTGCCATTTCTGGGCATGGCGACAAACCCAATAAGAATAAATACCTTCGTTTCAGTCAAGAGAAAAAACAACTAAGTGGACGAACAGCAAAAGGGCCATGCAGTGGCGGCCGGAGAAAGCGGAACGTTGGGGAAAGGATTCTAAATAACTCGACGTGAGAACGGAGAAGGAGATAGTCTTTCACGAAGAGAACAATGGGACCCTTGCAGTGAACAGCCGGCAAGGAGCTTGCGAAGCACAGAACGGGAAAAAATTTCTTCATTTCATGGATTCGAACAATGGTTAATTTAGGGTCTACCACATTTCCTTCCTGAGTGCCCCTGCCCGGGGGTCGACGTAGAGAACTCTGCGAAGCTACTGGCTAGGATCTGCACCTAGGCAGTCTCGGCCACGGGGGTATAAAATTTATGAACTTGGTGGTTCTGAAGGCCCTGAGATAGGCCACTTATTGGCCGGCCTCGGAGTCTGGCATGTTCTGAGCGGTGTGGAACCGTAGCCGGGGGGGTCTTTTCCCCCGGTTTGCTGGGTAACGGCCCACTGCGACGGGCTCGCCCATGCGACTGGCAGGAGCAATTGACGACCAGTGCTGCCTGGTGTCTTATCCAGGTAGTGCGCTGCTCCCCTGGAAGGGTAAAAGTGGAGGTTGAACCTCCACGAAGTGCCCAAAGGGGGAGTAGACCCGTAGTGTGGTTAGTTCACGGGGCGGGCAGCCAAGAACTTACTTTCTTTCCTGAGTCAAGTTGGCATCATACTTTCCTTTCGAAAGGGCGAAAGATGGAAGCAACCCGACAAATACCTTTAGAAAGCTTCTCTAACAACTTTAAGAAGAATTCTGCTGCTGGACAAGCCTGCGAAAGCGTTCTTCAGTCCGGCTAAATACAGAAGTGCGTCAGCTACATCCCAAGGTTCCTTATCAGAACGTGTTACTCATTGGTAAAAGTGTCCTGGTCTTGAACTGTATCGGGATTACTGTGATTTTTGTTCCCATAAGACAGTTTGCTGGTATCTAATACAGAAGTACGTCTTCTTCCTCCAGAGTTATCGTCATCGGAATTTATCGCCTATGGAAAATCGTGCCTATGGAAAACTGTGCCAGTAGTAGTACGAGTAAAAAGCAGAAGACAGATGTTCCCGTAAGATAGTACGTTAATGCTAAATGAAATTCCGTTGAGAGTGATTGTCCAAAATAAGATTATATGTAAATATTTCCAAATATGTTCTTTAGGTTTTGGTTAATCATAATATTATGTATTCCATTAACTAATGTTTAATAAAATTGCGTTAGTACATTCAAAAATTATCTTTGATGCAAATTCTCACTGGCCTCACGATTGGGTTATAAAGCTGGAAGTTTTTAAACATCATGCCGTCAAAGTAAATTTAAGGATAGGTTATTAATTATTAGTTATTATTGACAACTTAGCTGTAAGAACGAAACGCAAAAGAATTTTAATTTTAACGAAACTGAGTTTTAATTTCAAACGACACTATTAGTTTTTTTCTCCGTAACAAATGGTGCTGTGACTGAAACTGTACAACACAAGTTTTCACCATAACCTTACATTCCACCTTCTTTTTTAGATAAAGTTTGAGAAGCTCTTACGTTGTACCATCTATATGGTGACTAAATTAGTTAATGGTTCAATATCTGAATGTTGTTCATAGTGAAATATACATTTCTGACTTAAAAGATTCAATTTATATTTCATGTAACTAAGAACTCAGTTGCTTTATATTTACGTAATATAATCTGTAAAAGAAATAAAAATATTTACGTGAATGATAATTTTTAAAAGAAAGACCAATTAACTTTCTAAATATATTTTGAGATTTTATGTAAATGAAACTGAAGGATGAGTTTGCGTTCACTATTAAAAATATTTAAATATCACAGAAATCTAAGGAATCTTTACAAAGAGTTAAACAGGCATTTTTCATAATGCAACACGTGACAGTTATACGAAATAGGATAAATTCGTTCAAAGAGGACTATCCAAGGAAAATATATTTATAAATAATTTAATTATAAATTTCTAAATGTTATTTATGCCAAATGTGGGGAATGGAATGAAATTTACACAAAGCGAACACTTTGAATATTCAGCCTTATTAAATTAGCATATAGCATCCATTCAATTGAAAATGTCAGTATAAAATGTCTCATTTAATTTTGCTGAAAAGTGAAACAGTCGATAATTTCCAGAGTTTTCTACACTGCTGGCGATTAAAATTGCAACACCAGGAAGAAATAATCTGAAGAACCTTAAAATTACATAAAAGAAAGCAGTTGGGATATTCAGATGATGAGTATTTCAGCGCATTTAGACAACACAGGAATCAACAGTGAGAAACAACATCTGAAGCACTGCATAAAAAAAACGTTGTGTAGGGGATTTCTCATTCAGAAAGTATTTTGTAAGGTTGGAGTTTGCTCAGAATATCGTGTTATGCCTCGAATAAGAAGAGGAAATGCTTAACAGGAAGTTTCTAAATTCGATAGAGGCAGGATCGTTGCCTATCAAAAGTGTAGATTATTGTTCTGTGATATCGCCGGTAGCACTGATCAACATCCAACCGCTGTCATGCGATATGGAATCAATGAATTGCTGAGGGGCATACTGAACGGCAAGCAGGATCTTAACGCCCTCCCATGACTAACGCCAGAGAAGACAGACATATTGTGAAGTCAGCCTTGCAAAACCGTACGAACACATCACGGACCATTAATCAGAAAATGGGCATGTTTGCAGCACGCCCAGTATCAAGCAAAAATTATGGTCACGCTGCTGATAGTCTACGCTGCTGCAAACGTCGACGTACCTTACGAGCTCTAGGTACAGAAGTAGGACAATGTCGTCTTTTCAAACGCGTTCCGGTTCTACGTGCAATATTCTGACTACCGTATACGTCTCTGGAATGACCAAGGAGGCCGCACGTCTCTTGCTTACATTCGATATCAGCCTAGTGTGATGGTAGGGACAGCCATTGGGTACAAAACACGCGCATGTCTAGTTCGAATCGACGGTAATTTGAACACAGATGGGTATATTTCTGACATCTTACGTCCAGTGGTTGAGCCCTATCTTCGAGGCCTGCCAAGTGCCATCTTTCAACAAGATAAGGCAAGAGCACGTCGTGTTCTGACCTTCCTGGATACACAGGGTATTTATCTGCTGTTCTGGTCTGCACGGTCTCTAGATCTGTCACCCATTGAAAACATCTGATCATGGGTTGCTGATAGATTGGCTCGCCACCCTCTCCAGCTAATACAGTTGATGAAGTGTGGCATAGACTTGAAGCAGCATGGAATGAGTTACCCATTTCTGTCATCCGACCCCAGTTTGACTCCATGGCTAATGGGGTAAGGGCCGTTTTAGCTGCCAGGGTTGGCATACGTAACTACTAATTTCGCACCCTTGTAAACCTCCAAAATGCTTACAAACTTAATGATATTGTCTTCATGCCATACCCTTTACGTGCGTGCAATAAATCTTTTTTTTTTTTTATTTGCTTACCTTCATGGTTTACAATTTTAACGGCCAGAAGTGTAATTTAGTACCTATTAACTCTCTTAAATGAATGTTACTTTTAAAATCTGTCTTTTAGGTTCCGCTTTCCGTGTTTCTGAAGACTTTAATTTTTAGTTTTATGACATATTTTTAAAACTGGTAGAATTGTTGATTATAATATTTAAGCGAAATTTAGGCATCTAGCGTGCCTGAGACAGAATAAACATGAATGAAACTATTATTGATTTTAAACAAGCGGTTTTTGAAATCAGCTTAGTCAAAATTGTTTGAAATTTTGCTAAATGCTGAAAAGAAAAAGACAGATTTTTGAATGGATATTTTTTAGATCCACTAGCATTATATTCACATGAATCATAATTAAAGAATACGAGATAAAACCTTTTCTTGGGTTATTAGTGATTTTTTCTATCAGAGATGATGTAGTTTACAAAATGCATCTAAAAATTTTGGATTACAAGTATGCGAAATGCTATGTTGCATTTATTATTCAGGTTAGTTTATTGATTATAGCAAAGCTAAAAAGGGCTATTTATTTACCTTTAGGAAATATAACTTCGTGAAAGACATTTTAACATTTCGTGAAAGAAGTTTTGTATTTCTGCCAAAAAACAAAGAAAGTCTCATGTAGCCAGACTGTTGATAAAACCTGAAACTAAGTCAAAAT